GGGCCTGGTGGCGACAGGGGCGAGGGGGGGGGGGGGGAAGAAGACGGAGCCCAGATGAGGCCACGTCTCCGCTCGAGCGCCGCGCCGCTGCAGGACGCCGATGCGCCGGCCCCGCCGCCATAGAGCCGCTGCGCCGCCGCCTGTGGCGCCGGAGCGGCGGTGCTGCGCGCCTGCAGCCGACGGTTGGAGGCTCGTCACGACACAGACGTTCGCCGCCGCCGCCGCCGCCGCTGCCGGCGGCGCAGGTGCCGCGCAATCAGCGGACGCCGCCGGCGCCCGGTCGGCGCCGCCACCCCGATTGAAGCGGCTCGGCTGCCGCGCGCCGGCGACGTCGACGGGCGCGTTTAGCGCGCCTTCTGCTCGCGCTGCAGGCAATTGTCAGCCGCTCGTGCTGCAGGCAACTGCCGGCCGCTCTGCTGCGCCGCAGTGATCGGGGCGCATTTTGCGCGCCCTCTGCTCGCGCTGCAGCAACTGCCAGCCGCTCTGCTGCGCCGCAGTGATCGGGACACGCTTGAATCGCGGGCTGACCGGCCTACAGAGCGTCTCGGCTCACTTCAATATGATGTCTGCTTCTAGCGCCGCCTAAGTGTTTGCACCCGGTTCTGTCGGTCGAAACTTTGCGGTCTGGTTGGATGTTTGCACGAGCGTTATACGAATCTAATCACATTTTTAGACCATTCTTACGCGATGGATTCATTGCTCTTCCATTTTGTGTAGTCCCTTCTGTGCCCGTCTTTGCATGCCTCGACAGCACACTCCTTGAGCTGCGGACTAAACAGGATTAATTAATTTATAAAATAATGCACCAAGTGGCTTGCATACCGCGAAGTTGAGCACCTCTGTCGAAGTGCGCCTCCCGGGTTGGATGGCGACGGAACGCGGCCCGGTGGGGACGGCGGGCTTGACGGGGTGCGCGCCGCTCACCCCTCCGCGCCCGTGGCGCCCCGCGCCCCCCCCCCCCCGCCATCGGGAGCGGCCGTCGGCGCTGCCTCTAATCTGGGGCGCGAGCGGCGCCGTGCGGAACCCGGCCGCTGCCAGGTCAGCGTCAGTGACCCTGCAGCCCCCGGCGACCCGAGGGATCTCGGCGGCGCCTCTGATCTGGGGCGCGAGCGGCGCCGTGCGGAGCCCGGCCGCTGTCAGGTCAGCGTCAGTGACCCTGCGACCCCCGGCGACCCGGGGGATCTGGGCGGCGCCGGCTCCCAAACGCAGGAGCGTCATCAACGAGACGGGTACCGACGGGTTTCGTTCGGGAAGAAGTCGGGGAAAGGCGGCAAAATTTCTAGTTACGTCTGAGAGACCTGTCCGAAAAGTGGACCGCCTCTTGGCATCGCTGGTGAGTGATGTCGAACGTCTCAGCCGCGAACGCCACCTCACAGGTCAATAAGACGTAGGAGCTGACAGCGGCATTCTTCTGGACGGGCCGTGTAAAAATCTCGCCACGCCGCCATCCGTCTTCTGTCTGACGTAGCTGCTATCCGAGCACGACAGTCGTCAGTCCTGAGAGACTCGCTGTGCCTTTTCACTGTCTGTCCGTGCTCGCCGGTGTCCGAGTCTGAACAGATCGCCTGCGTGACCGTCCCTGAGCCATCCACCCGAACCGTGTGCCAGCGTGCCTTCTTGACTCTCGATTCACCTGTATCTCGCCGGGCTCTTATGGGATGGGTTGTTGTCGTGTGTGCTCGCTGTTATGACACTGGCGGAGGCGCGGGGATCAGTCGTGAGATGGATGGACGGGTCCTGGCGGCTGCCGGGACCGGCACTGCGGCCGACGTGCAGCGGCTGCCCGCGTCACCGGTCGCCCCCTATCCCGCCTCACCTTTGTGGCCGACGCCTCTCGCCATCGGCGTCAGCAGGCCGCAGCCAGCGTCAGGCACCAGGACGGTAGCGAGGCCGGTCGTGAGCCGGGCCGGGCCACCTGCCGATCGTCCGCAGCGCTGCGCCATGCGTCGATCGGCGGCACGACCCTGCACCAGGGGCTCAGCTGTCCACGACTGGGAGGGCCGCCGGCCGCCGACGGCTGTACTGGATCGCCGCCAGTCTCCTGTCGTTCGCCAGGCTCGTCTCCCGTGTGCCTCTCCAAGTCGTTGTGGCCTGAGGTCGTTTCCTCTCCAGGTCGTTGTGGTCTCAAGTCGTCCCCTCTCAGGTCGTCTCCTCTCAGGTCGTTGTGGTCCCAAGTCTTCCCCTCTCAGGTCGCTGCGGTCAGCATCTCGCTGGAAGCCGGGCGGTTCGCGGCTAATTAGCCGTCCGGCTATCAGGTGTCGGGCCTGCCGGAGAGCGGCGAGCTCACCGCCTGGCGGCTGGCTGCCCGGGGTTGAACTTTCCAACGATAAACGACTTTATGGGTGAAGTGGTCCACGCATAGCAACGTCCCGTGTGATTATCATCTGTTTTGCGGTTTTCATCCGGCGGAACAGCTTCTCCGTGGTAGACCTTGGTCCATGACCGTGTCCGATGTAGCTGTGCTGGTCCATCAGAATGATTGTTTGTTGAGCGAGGCGTGGAGTTCAGATATAGTAGATGCGACACATGGTAGCTAGCGCAAACATTCATGAAGTCCAAGCCTTGCTCATTCCCTTTGAAAATTTTGATCTGCTTATCAAATCGCGCATCAAACGAAACTTTTTTTTTCTTAGCGGCACTTGCGTTTTCGGCAGTGAAGTTTGCCAAGCCACCTTTTATTGCCCATTCACGTTCTGTGCTGCCAGACCAGCTATGTCTCTAGGGATTATCCCACCCTATCACGAATATGATGAATAACCTCTTCATCGAGCTGCTTGGGCAATCGGCCGAATGCATTAGCTGCCATTGGGTCCCATGACCGGGAGAATATTCATTAGATCATAATTTTCTAGATGGAAGTCATCACTGCGAACTCTGCAATCCATTTCGACACCCCACAATGATCTTGATGCCTTACTGCATAATAGACGGGCGCGGAATAACCTAGCGTCTAGTCCGGGAGAGTGTTCCCGTTTTCAAGCCTGCACGGTCTGAGGCAGCATTTAAACCAGCCATGCAAGGCGCATGTAGATGCTGAGTAACGCGCAGGTACAAATCGGGCCTCGTGTCCGGGGCGTGATCACGACCACTGGTGTCTGGTGAGCCGGGTCCACTCCCTCCTCTGCCATCCGGCGTCAGGGCGGTCAGGTCAGGTCAGGTCACGTGACCTGGAGGTCACATGACGTCAGTCAGGCGTGGAAGGTGCAGATCATGCTTGCTCGCTCGCTCGCTCGCAGTAAATCGCAGCGTAACGATGCGAGGCTCTCCGCCTTCATGCTACGGCGCTCCAGCCGACGCTACGGTGACGAAGACAAAGATACGAAATTTTCGGTAGAGGTTTCCAGGACGTGCTCGACTCCGGTTCATGCGGCGTTCGCTGACATGAGGCTGGCTTCCGACATCTTCCTGCTCGGTGCAACAAGGCGCCTCATGCATTATTCCTCGCCTCACTTGCAATGTACGCCGGAGAGGATGTGGAGCATCGCCGAAGCACTCCTCGCGGACTCAGCGAATGTTGGGGCTCCCATTTGATTTAGGAAACCACCCCTGCGGGATGTTCCGTAGACCGTTCCTGTTTCCGACGTCCGACCTTTTCACGCTGCGTCGCAGTGGCGCATTCAGCGGCGGGCTCAGGGGGGAGCGGCACGCTCCAGCGGCGGGCTCAAGGGGGAGCGGCTCACTATCATGTGCAACCGATCAGCGCTAGCACGGCCGTTTTCAACCACGCTTCCAGTGGGTCGAAGGACGCCCGTCCCGTCCGTGCTAGCTCCGTCCCTGCTCGCCGGACGCCTGTCCCTGGATGCTGTTCCACGGCGCTGCGGCGCGGCCTGGCCTCGGCGGCATGGCCGCTGAGCGCGCCGGGCGGGGTGCCGTCGCACGCGCTCGCGCCCGTCCACAGTCGCGCGCGACACCGCCGACCACCTTTCTGGGCGGCGGCTGACGCGGCCGCGCCCGCCTGGGGCGACGGAGGGCCGCCGGGCCGGGCGCGCCCGGGCCGTCAGCGTGGTCAGCTGGGCGTTGGCCGGCCGTCGGCGGTCGGGGTGGCGTGCGGGGCCGCCGCTCTGGCCGGCCGTGGCGCCCATCGCCGGAAGGGATTGTATTGCTGACTATTGCTGACGGGCAGGTGCTCTACAAGTGAGTCAGAATCGTGGCGTGCAGCCTGCGGGTGCCCTATTGGAGCAATCGATCCAAGACGCTGTAGTGCACCCATTCTCTCATAATTTTCAGGAAGTGCCAACTCAGGCGATGTCCTTAACGAGGTGGGGAGTGAGGCTCAACTGTCGCCAAGTACACAGTTAGCGGGGGCACTGCCCTGAGTATTTGCCTTACTATTATTGCTTACTCCGTGGTTTGACGGCATGTTTTGAGACAAACGAACAACTAGTGAATTTGTTTCCAGATGCGTTCTGAGTTGGACTGATTTGTTTCCAGCCTCCCACCGTGTTTGGTAAACTTGTTTCCCGATGCTAACATGACTCGGCCGATTTGTTCCGAGACACAGCCTAGTTTTGGCAGTTCTGTTGCCAGACGCGCGCCAGCCACGTTGGATCACTCCGTGTGCCATAATAAAGCTTGGCACGTGACGCTGCAGGAAACCGGAAAGATCAATCGCCACATATTAGGCTTACAGACCGGCGCAAAGAAGCCCTATAATTCGTCTTGCTCGGGTGACCGAACCACTGCTTACGCAATATGCTGTGCTTGGTACGAACTTTGATCCCGCTGTCATTAAGACCGATGACTCGCATCGCCATCTGGTCACGAAAGAGGCAGCGGATCGGGCAGCCGTGGTGCTGACGGGTCGCCGCGCCGGGCCGCCGGTCACTTGAGACGCGTCGGCCGGAACCCAGCTTCCGGCCCATTTTCACTGCAAACACTGACCGACGCCATCTTGTCTTTCAGGAGCTGGTAAACGGCCTGGTCCTGGACAAGCGGAAACGCGATGAGGACGATGAGTCGCCGGAGCTGAAAAAGGTGAAGCTTGACCCCCGGCTTGCTTGTCTACTGCAGGTACATGACGCTGCCACGGCCAGGTTTGGTTGACATTAGCCGCGGGCGCCTTCGACGCACGTGTCTATTTTCGTGGGCCGGTGACTTCCTTTGATCTGTTTACGAGCGTCGTCGACGCAGCAATTAGCTGCAGCTGTCTCTGCAGTGACGCGAACCACGCCGGCAAAAATGACTCTCTCTTCGACTCCCCGCGAGCCGGCGTGCCCGGAGACGGTTGGAGCGGCGCCGGCCGTCAGTGACGGGCCGCGACGCGCGCGCCCCGGCCAGACGCCTGTTTGTCTCGGCCCGCCGCCGTCCGTATGCGCCTGGCGGGGCCGCTAACTTCTGCGTGCGGCCGGCCGGTCCGTCGACCTGGCGGCGCGCCTCGTTTTCCGCGTGCGCGCCCCTCGGCCGGCTGGCGGCGGCCGGCCGGCTCCCACAGACGCCTCGGGCGTGGGGAGGAGAGGAGTCACGGAGGCGGCGGCCAGGTCGGCCATGTCGAAAGTGGGAACTGGTGAAAAGCTGGGGCAACGGTTGAGGAGGGACCGCAAGAGCTGCGACAATGACCTGGGTGAGGCGATAAGAGCTGCGACAGTGGCGTGGTAGGAACTGTAGAAGCTGCGACAGTGGCCTGGTAGGATCTGTAAGGGCTGCGACGGTGATCGGGGAGGAATGTAACGGTTGCAGTGGCGGCCGAGGAGGAATGCAACGGTTGCAGTGGCGGCCGAGGAGGAATTGCAAGAGGCGTGACGATGGGCGAGGGTTGACTGCAAGAGCTGCGACCGTGCCTTTAAAGCGTCACAGCTGCAGTGCCTCAAATGTCGACGGATCCTGCAACGCGGCTCGGCTCTCCAGTGCACTGGACAGCAGCGGTCTGGAATCCACTGTAAATCGGTCCATCGGGCCACCACAGTGACCGCTTGACCACAGACAGCAGATGCCGGGGCGAACTGGCGACAGCGGAGTGTTGGGCATCACCACGCTAGAGGCATGAGCGCCGTCCGAGACCCGAATCCCCAGACCTGTTGGCGCGTGACCCTGACCGAAGAATGCGAAACCAGACCGCCAGCCGCGCACGCGGAATGGACGGGCGAACCGAGCCCAGCATAGCCCGCGCCGGCGACCTTCTTTGGGCGCAAGGAGCGCGCCTCTGGTTCAGAGTCATCGCAGCGCACGGAATCGGCCGTCGGCGGAGTGCTGAGCGTGCGCGGCCGCGCCCGGCGGCCTGATCGGATTTGCCGGCCGGCTGGAGCTGAGTGGGCAATACCGCGCCGGTGCCGGCCGCCGGCCGCCGCCGCCGCGCGCAACGGGCAACACGAGACAAATGACCCGCCGCCGGCCCGCGCGTCATTCGTGGGAGACAGGCCGCCGCCACTGAAGGCGGTCCGCCGCCGCAGCGACGCGCTGTGAGCCGAATCGGCGCAGCGCCGGGGAGATGGGCGCACGGCACTGGAGGTCATGCTCCTCCGCAGCGACGTGTCTCTCGGAAATGGGACAACTCCCGACCAAAAAAATGGGGACACTGGCCTTTTGCAAACGCGGTCACAAGCTCGGCCCCGGGACGGCGCAGTCCTCAGATGGTCCCGTAGCGGATGGCGGGGGGCAAGTGCGGCACTGCAGGCTATAAGTGGTCGTCACTGGGGCTCTCCGGCAGGTTAATTGACGACCACGTGGCCGTCTGACCGGTGGCGGCGCTGAGCTGTGTTCGCCGCCGACCCTCTGGGGAGACATGTTGACAGCTCTGGCGTCGCGATCCGCCGGCGGTGGTGACGGCGACGATGCGCGGCGTGCATGGCGAGCACCAGCGTTGCGTTGTGTGTCTCGCAAGGTGCAGACGGCGTCGGTGGCGTCAGCATCATGCCACATGCTGGTGGTACGTGGTGCGGGTAGCTGTGTTGGATGCTGCTGGCATTTGTGCCGGGCTATGCTTCGGCACCGCCGGAACCCCAGCTTAGCACTTGCGCACGGCGCTCGATCCTATCTGCCCTCAGGCTCACATCAAAGAGCTGTAGCCGAACGCCCTATCTGATGCCCACGCGAGCGATCGCGCCGCCGTTTCCGGGCCCCGTGCGGGACCGTGCCTGTGGCGGCCGCCTCGCCGGCTCAGTTCCCGGAGCCGGCGCCGGCGCGCGCGCGGGCGACCCGGCTTCGGACCCGGGTCCGGAGCCGGGCCGCCCACGGGCAGCCGAGCGCGCCGACCGGGCCGCTTGCCGGCTGGGCTGCGTCTCGCGGAGGGCTATTCTCGGCGGGCGGGCGCCGGATTGATGGAGTCGCGGCGACTCCGGCTCGGCGGCGAGGTCCGCCTCCGGCCGTCCATCGCGCCCACCGCGCGCTGAATGCAAGACTTGTCGACCTTTCAGTGGGAGCGCGCTCTTTCTCGCTGACCGAGGCGTGGGGTGCGCGCGCGCCTTTGTGGCGTGGGAGGTATTGTCGGCGACGAGCGCGTGTGTCGGCCGGAGTGACCTGCCGTCCCAGCCGTCCGGCGCCGTCCAGCCCGTCGTCGGGTGCCGGATGCCGCTATCAATTACCCTGTATCTTGGCGTCCAGTGGGTTGTGTTATTATGGAGAGAGGACAGTGGAGACGCGGTCCGTTGTGCTGTCGGTAATTACCTCGGCGCCGTGGTTGGTGTAATCCAAATGTTACGTTTGCTACGCAAGATGACCATGTGCTCTGACGCCGTGATGATGCGTAGCATTGTTAGACAGCCCCGTTTTCGTCCGTAAGGCAGTGCTCTCATTTTCATCCACTGGCTTTTCCCTGTTCAGCAATGACGAAGGCCCCTTTCCTCCCTCTCCGCCTTTTCTCTGTTTGGACCCGGATGGCCCCTCGTTTTATTTTATGTCCCTCCTGATCTGTCCACCTCCACGATAACGAGACACAACGGGCCGATGAAAATCGGCCGGCTAGAGATAACGGCGCGGCAGAAAAATAAACTGGGGAACAGAACGCAGAGCCCAGGCGGCGGGCGCACGGCGGGCTGTCCGCTCCGCAGGCGTCTGCTCCTAGGAGTGAATAGTCTCTGGTGCTCCTCCGCCGTTCCTTTCTGATTGGGGACGAGGGTGTCTGCGGAGCGGCTCCACCCGGCCGGCCGGGCCCGCGGTGAGCCCGCAGAGAGCCGTCGGTCGGCCGGTCGGCCGCGATCTAATGAGCTGGGCGTCGCAGAGATGGAGGGCATCGTGAACAAGAGTGATGTCGCTGCGGCCGCTGCATACTGAATACGGCCGCTGATTGTGCTGTTTGCTCGGAAAGAATCTGACGCGAGATCTCTCGCCAGGAGTTATCTTTTTCATGTGAAATGTGGTGCGATTGATTGGGTATTGAAGCATCGTTGGGCGCTGATGGAAAATGTAAATGTCACTTCTTACGTTTGCCAAGGTGGCTGATTTTGTATAGCAGCTTACTTATCAGGCTTGATATGTTGGCGTAATCGTGAGTCATCACATCTATTCATGTGGGAGAGGCGCTGACACATCTCGTTAGGGCAGAACGTGCAGGCCTGGGGAAGCTTTCATCTCCTCAGAGTGTCTTGCTCATTGTTTTTCCTCAGTATCACTACCAGTTTGGGACCCAAATATTCAAGAAGTCTCTGAAAAGCTTCCTGAACAGCAAGCGTCTCTGCGTTTTGGAAAAAGGTCGTTTTTGGTCCCGAGCGTATTTTAAGAAACTCTGGTGTGTACTTATGCGCAGGCGTGTTGCTCGTTTCCGGACTGTGCGCTAGTTACAAGACCGCAGGGTGACGGAGCTCGTCAGAGCGCTCCCTCGCTAGCCTTTGTTGTGTGAGCCGATTGTTTGGGCGCGGCGCGTGCGAGTGGTTTGTGTGGCCCTGCATACCTGCTCCGACGGATCAGCCGCGCCCGATTTATGCCCATATGTCTGCTCAGGTGTTTGTAACGAGCGCCAGCACCTGTAACGGCGATCGGTGGCGTTCGGGAAGCGCGGGCACGGTGCCTGCTCAATCGTACCAGCCTTGCTCGGCGTCGTTCACCAGCGCTGCCGATCGACTGTCCGAGACAGACAGACGAACGCATTTATCCTTTGAGAGCGGCTGCTGGATTCGTTAGTGCCAGAGCTGGCTCTGACGAAAAAGCTCCTCCGTCTGACGCGAGAGCCTTCCCTGTGTGGCTATGCTGCACCGCAAGCGGCCCAGTCTTCCGGAACGCCATACCCACGCAGGGGGTGCGTGATCGCCACTGGAAGATCGTGGCGCAAAGTTTCTAGTATTCGTTGCTGCTATTTTGGAGTTTTTGTGGGCTTTACATGCATTGTAAATGCATGAGCTACCATCCGTTTTGATCTTCTATACGTCAAAAGGCATAGCAAAATTGATTGTGTTCACTGCTGGGAAGGTGCCCCGGTGCTGTGCCGTTGGGCGTCAAATACCTCGTAAACATTAATTGGATGCACATTTACGTATATATATATATATATATATATATATATATATATATATATATACATATATATATACATATATATATATATATATATATATATATATATATATAACCAACCTCAAACCGTATTATCAAAATCAAATGACATCTGCCCACCACCAAGACGAAAAAGCCCTACGGGAAATCATCTCTCGACATGTTAAAGGTAAGAACGGCCACAAAATAGACATCTTCATTCATTATCGCATTACGAAAATCTTTAACATTCTTATGACAAACAGTCCAGACAAACCCGACGAACTAAATGCACCAATGCAGTGTATCAATTCAAATGCAACATTAAAGACTACAAACTTCGTTCCATACGCTTCACTGATGTGGTCACAACGACACTCTCACAAGGCCTGACAATGCACTTACTGACAGGGCATCTCTGAACCACATGCGACACGAACACGACAGGACGTTGACATGACAACAACTGACAGACAACACTGACATTTTACGGACGTGCAATGACAAAATACGCCTTCAGATTTGGGAAAGTAAAAGTCATCAACGAACTCCCTCCAGCGCTAAACAGACAAACACTTTCTTGTACAACACTTGAACCTTGAAGTATGTAT